TCTTGTTTTCAGAATGTGTAAGATTATTTGTCTTGTTAGTCTGAAAATTTGACTCAAGTCAAAATTTTCTGGCAATGGAGTAAGAAAATTTTACTTGGTAAGATTCTTGAAATAAGAAAAAAAATGAAAAAAAATTTTTTTTGGCTGGATATAAGGTTTTAAAACTTGGTAAGATGGACATTTTTTGCAGTGTATCTGTTTTAAATTCAGCTATTTGAAAATGTGATCTAGTATTATACTGCAGTTGAATATGGGCTAATGAGGACTTTTTAATTTCCTAATAGTGCCCAACACATTCTTTAACATGGGTATAATATAAAGACTTAAGTCTACAACCAATGCAGTGAAGCTGATGGAATTTCTCCACTGACAAAGACATAAAGGTAGCAGTTCTTCCAGTGCTGTCTTATAAAACAMCCCCTGAATATTTGGTTTTGTTTYGTATAAGAAAGGGCCACAACAAAGCTTTGCCATCTATTGTTGTTTCGGAGCAGAACAGGTCTGTGTCTCACCCTCTGAGATGACAGCTTTGTTTTTGACCTTTTCTCTGCTTATTGACTGTATCTCCTATGAAGCTTTCACCTCGCAGAAGTTCAGTGGCGACTTTTTGTTTTTTATCCTTTCTTTCTTCCTTCCTTTCATTTTAGTTGATGTTGCCGTGGGGACTCTTCTCTCTCTGCCCCCACATAGCAACTGGTTGCCAGGCAGTCATCACTGTCACTTCCTCATTACCCACAACCCCCTCCGGGACAGTGTTGTGCAGGGTCTGCTCGGCCACCATATACAAATGCACAAACACACACAGAGATGCACTGGAACACTTAAAGACATTAGGAACTTACACCAGCTCACCAACACAAATCTTTCACTGTGACACTTGCATGCACGCGGGCAAAAGCTGACCTAACTGCACAAACTGAATTACACGCACACACATACATACACACACGAGSCTGTGTTTTCCAATACTCTTAGTTTGATAGCTGTCCCCTGCCACATCCCTTCGCTTTAATGGAATGTGAACTTATATCCAGCAGGCAGTAACACTTAAATGGATAGACGCAACAGACACAGACACAATCTGCAAGTTTCTGGGCCCTCAGCTAGAMAGACACAAGGTGCACACCAGTGTTGTTTTTGACATTGCCATTTWAATTTTAGTCTTAGTCTTTTGAACAAAAATACTTCTTAGTTTTAGTCAGTTTTAGTCATTACTATATTTAATGGTTTTAGTTGAGTTTTAATTGACAAAAGCTTAAAAATTGTTTAGTTTTAGTCTTAAAAAGGACAACATATTAGTCTTTACAAATAAATTTGAGTCATTTGTGTTAACATTTGTGAATTTGTGTTACTCTAAAAATGCCCAAAACAAAAACATTCTCACTTTGTGGTTTTATGTCTCAGAATTTGTTAAAGTGCAACGAACATACAAAATACACATGCCCAGTACAATAAGCAATAAAGGGGAACTTTCATGTTCAACTCAAACTTGTCAGCCAGGACGATGAAGATGCATCTTATTTATAAAAATGGACATCATGCAGTCCTAAACTTAGTTAGTAGACTGGAAATCCATTGGGGTCTCCCCACGCAGGTTCGAATCCTGCCGACAACGCCAAAAATTGTGGTGGCACGATTTACCAAGAATGCAGAAACACGCTGGGATAAATGTACAGAAAGTCTGCATGTATGGTCATCAAATGATTTAATTTGAGCAACAACAGAGCAGAAGTCAATCAGAGAARTCTGTCAAGTTGTGGCTGGCTCGTCAACGCAGAGCAGCCGATAATATAACATCCTGTGACATGCTTACAACCAATCACAGTTCGCCAACTGTGAACCATCTAACCAATGACAGGGCTGTCAGCCTGGAAACACCTTATCAAAATAAAAGAGGTCATGCATTGCTGGAGTCTTGAAGTCTGGGCAACAGATTAAAACAGCCGAAACTAGTTATCATAAGATATGAGTACTGGACAGTGTTAAGGTAAAACAGATATAAATAATTAGTCCTTAACATAGACTATTAAACTTGTGCAAACGAGTGTTTACATGCACCAGGCTTTTATTCAGAACAGAAGCACTGACATGCGCAGTTGCTAACTCCCCCCGGCCAAAAAAATAAAATAAAATAAAATAAAAAATAAAGAAAAACTATTTTACTTTTGTCATGAACGTAAACAAACAGCTTCTGAGCTCAGAATGGACCTGCGACAGCTTTTAATGGTGGAGACGTTAAACTACAGGTGACGGAAGAACTTTTTTTTGCAAAGCTTTGTCTTCCTTCTTTACTGAATGAGAGGAGGAAATGTTCTGTGCTGCTGTGTGTGTGCGTGTGTGTGTGACAGTGCTGCTGTCCCTCCCTCCACTCTGCATTCTAAATGATTGACAGACCACTGACAAACATTTTCGTCCAGTCTCGTCTCGTCAACRAAAACTCACACRCGTTTCGTCACGCCTTAGTCATCAAAGATTCATGTTTATTTTGTTACCGTCTCGTTATCGTCATGAAAAAAGGGGGGCGTCAACGCAAATATTTCATCATCGTTAACAAAAACAACACTGGCGCACACACAGAGGCAGGTCTTCAGAGACAAAAGTTCAGACTGAAATTAAAAGTGTGCATCCAAAACTTGAACACTTGAAGGAAATCCCATAAAATAAAATCACACACTAATACATGTCAACTTTTCAGCTCCAGCGACACACACACCTACTCACAAACGAGACTGTATATTTTATTCGGTGACCGAAGCAAGCTATTTATAACCCCATAATAACAATAAGTATTCTATTTACCTTTGTTATTCCTAGGCATTATAGAAAAGGGTAATTGGGTGTCAGCAGGTAGAAACCACAAAGAAATTTAAATAATTACTGAAGCATTTGTGTATTTTTTAATCAGTTACTTGGCAGCAGGCGATTCTCTTTCATTTAGGATTGAAATGGTGGCTATAATGCACAAGGTTTCTTCTATTATGTTTTGTAAGCCTCAAGTGTGGCTTTAAGAATTTAGTCTAAAAAAATAAAGCAATCTTTTGGTTTTATATTAACAGCAGTGATAATAAAATTAGTACCGCAGAAACATTTATCAAGTTAACAGCTGTTTCATATCCTTTCTTACTGCAAAAAAAAGTTTAATATTACCAACACCAGCTGTGTTAATAATGTAATTTGATGACAGATAAGGATAATCAGCTGGTCAAAATGTCCAATTCATGCATTTGCACCAGTCTTATTGCTGTGATAAATAATGATGAACACCTTTTTTTTTATTTCCCCTTTTTCAGAACTCTCCACGGTAATGACCTCTCAACCATCCCTGAAGGAGCGTTCAACCACCTCACATCTCTTTCTCACTTGTAAGTGCAGCCCTGTGTCGCTGTTTATCCTCGCTATTTCAGGATGCATTTCTTAAAAAAAATAGCTTTATATCTTTTTTTGTTTGTTTCTTTTGCTTGTGCACAGAGCGCTTGGTGCCAACCCACTTTACTGTAACTGTGACTTACGTTGGCTCTCTCAGTGGGTTAAGGCTGGTTTCAAAGAGCCTGGTAAGAAATCAGAATGGCACGAGCGTGAAAGGTTTAGTGTTGATGTTTTTGAAAAGAATATACACCTAAAATATATATATATATATAAACATATAAATGATTATTTTAGGCATTGCCCGTTGTGCTGGGCCACCTGACATGGCCGACAGACTGCTGCTCACCACACCGCTCAACAGATTCCAGTGTAAAGGTGAACTTTTCTTTCTGTATGCTTTCATTTTGTTTCCCTCATCCCACTCCCACGGTGTTGTCAAAAGATTTTAMAATATGTAGCAACTTTATTGCATAAATATGGTATTCTAGCAAATCTTTTAGTTATTTTGAGTTCAGCTTGTTTTTTTTTATTATTATTTTTATTAAACACAGCGAGAAAGCCAGTATTTTGACTTGTGTCGAGACCTGTTTAGTTGCAGTGCTCTTTGTGAGGAAGGCTACATGAAGTTTAAAATTTACATGATTATGCAACTGAGTGGGCTTCCAGGAATATTCTGCAGCTGACTTTTTCATAATTTTATTACAGATTTAAACAAACTGTCTTTGACTGTGAAAGTGTTTATGCCCTATCTTATTATTTTGACACAGCAACTTTGGGTTACTTCAGGTTTTCATAAAAAAGCCCCCAAAAAAGGCATTTAGATCCTGTTCAGTAAATAATTTTGTCTGTCAAAAACCAATTTCTTCACAGCTGTATTCCACCAGAACAGAAGCAGCGGACTTCTTCAGATCACATTTTTAGCGCTCCCCAGCTAACAAACCAGATGCCAAAATAACTGAAAGTGGGATTATTTGTGTTAATTCTTATTAGGCTTTTCTCTACATATACAAAAACAGCAGATGGTTACATGAACAGCCAGGCCCACAAGGAAAAAAAACTTTTTTTTGGGGGGGGGGGGGGGGGGGGGGGGGGGTTTACAGTGCATTTGGTGTGTACACTCTCACATCATTTCCACTCAGTCACTTCTCTCCATGTCCTGCTTGTCGCTGCTGTGGTTCTTGAATAATCCCCCCCTGCCTCCCACTGGTACTCCATCTGTCTTTCTCGCAGTCTTAAACAATGTGTCAGTTTCTTAATTATAAAGGTCCCCTCTAATATCTCTCTTCACTGCTCCTCTGTAGGGGGTTCCACGCTACCCCATTTCCTTTAGTAATTGCAACTTTTTTTGTTACAGGGTTGAACAAATATTTTTCACAAGACACACCTGTTCTTTGTGTATGTTGTATTCAAATAAGATAGAAAGAAAACCATACAACTTACATTTGATTTTGTGCAGAAAATCGATGTGCAAAAATGTAAATTTGGAAATTTTCTAAATATATTCCATACATGTAAAGTTGTATGGATTATCTGTAGTTTACACAGATTTTCCTTAATTTTGCAGGTGTACAGACGTATAGAGCAATCTCACGAATTATTTCAAGTTTTACATTTTTTTCTAAAACTCAGTTTCAAATTTATTTTACATTTCAGAGCCTGTAGGACGTTAAACATAACAATAAATAACATCAAATAACCTTCTTACAACCCGCTCTGCCATTAGAAATTAGTTTTCTCCTCATTTCCTCCTGCTTTATGCTGCAGGTGCTGTCATCCCCCACTCCCCCCTTCTCCAATCCCCTGCATGTGTGATTATGGATTTTTTTGCGAAAATTACGGATTTTTGAGGTTTAGTATGCAGGACGTATATTTATCTGCCTCTAATTTTCAACACATCAAATTTATTTTAAATTAAAAAGAGGAAACCGAAGGAGTTTTCTTTTATTCTGTCAAAAACAAAATTATATTAAAAATGGTTTTACCCTAAATTAAACGGTGTCATGCAAAGTGGACTTCARTCTAACTAAAAGAACTAACATCACATTGAATCACGTCCTCGCGCTCTTGTCGTCTCCTTTCTACATGTGCTGCATTCACCAACAAATCACATTTATAGCTCTCCTTAGCACTTAATTTCTACACCTGTAAGGCTATTCTGTACTCCATTAAATGGAGTTAAAGAGAGTTTTAACACAGTGTGGCTCAATATACAGTATCTGTTTACCTTTGCCACTTTTCTTAGCCTTCTTTCTGTCTTGTCTTTCCCTCACCTTTCATTTCTTTCATTGTTACCATTCTTCCGTCCACATACATAGGTCCAGTGGATATCAGCCTCATGTCGAAGTGCGCCCCCTGCTTGTCAGCACCCTGCCAGAACAATGGGACTTGTGTCTCCAACTCCGCTGGGTCTTACCACTGCACCTGTCCACATGGGTTCAAGGTGAGACAGAACACAGCTGCAGAAAAAATAACAAGTAAAAGAAAAAAWATATATTTTATTGCATCATCTTTTTTCCCCCAGCAATACAATTCAATTCAAAAATACTTTATTGATCCCAGAGGGAAATTAGGTAATGAAAAAATATGCTCCATCTTCATTTTACACATTTCTCAGCACTTAATGTGGACCAATTTTTTTTCACATTTGTGGAAAGACCACTGGGTTCAAAGCGCTAAATAAGATTCTGCATGCGATTGTGTGCAAGTACTTAAAAAAATACAGCTTTAATCTCATGAGAACACACACCTTATAACCCTTTAGATTTTTATAGGAGAACAAATTGTTGGGTTTTCTTTTAAACGAACGATCGCTTGCCAAGGTCACAGACTGGGAAACAAGAATTGCTTGTGTGTGTTTTTCTTCCAGTGATTGTGTCTGCAGGGACATTAATTAAAATGTGTTAGAGGAATCTGATAAGAAGCATCAAACAACAAATTGAGTTGGAAAGAGTGACTAAATTTACAAAGGGGTGAGGGAAATTTAATGACTGGAGATAAAGGGTTTGTGAAGTGAGCTGAAAGTTAAATAAAAAGCATTGAATGTAAAAGAAAAGGCGGTGTGAGAAAAAAAATTGTGTCTCTTCAGTAGAAAACGAAACCAAATATTAGTTTATTTAGTTTATTTATTTCTTTATCATCAAAACGTGATAAAAAATTAAGGAAAAGAGTGGTGAGGAGGACTGTCTGATAGAATCAAAGAACGTATGAGGGGGRAAAAAGTGATACAGTGAAAAAGGAAACAACCAAAAATGATTCATAATCAAGATTGAATGCTTTTGGCTTTTTCTTTAAAGATGTGAGAGTTAGAGAACTGAAGATTTGAAACTGAAACTAAAGCAAAATGGGGGTGACAGAGAATAATAATATGTGGGTCTCTGCGTGTAATTCTTTTAGACACGATAAAATATTTAGTGAAAGCTTAGACGCTGTAGTGGGAAAGCCATGAATAACAGAAGCTGAATTGTGTGTGACTATTTATGAGCATGTACATTTGTTCTGTCACTCATTTAAAGATCTGTTTAAGAAATTTTATGCAAAAGCAGTAAGAAAAAAAATTACATTTTTTTAACCAAAAATGCCAAAAATGTTTGCAGATTGACCCTTATTACTCTACTTAGGCAGGCTGTATGTTTTCTGAAAACATCAAATCTATAAGCCCAGAGTCAGTAAATCTGAACCATTTCAGAATTTCTTTCTAGTTAAATTATTTGCTTTAACTCTCTGCCTTATTATCTGTTGTCACAATCCATAAATAAAGTTTTGTATATGGTTTAACAGGTGTAGTCAGTACTTTACAAAACCTTATTCTTTRCATTAAAAAACAGTTGCTGCAGTTCTAAAGATTTCCATGATTGTTTTATTCTCCAGCCTGTAGAATGGAGGATACTAAGTGAAAAACCTAAATTAGGTGGTTTAATGCAGATAATTTAATGACTTCATCATATTTTGTCCTYTTCTGTCCATCAGGGTCAAGTCTGTGAAATACCCATCAACGCTTGCATCAGCTTACCTTGCTATAATGGAGGAACCTGCCACCTTCAACCTGGCCTTGGAGACCACTTTAGGTACAATAATATGCTAATTTCTCACATTTTTTTTTATTATTATTCTATTTTTATTATTATTCTATAGAATGATTGGCAATATTTTGAGCTTATATAACATACCATATGAAGATGGCAAAGAGATTAAAAACCAAGAAGAAGCCCCTTTTGTGTTTTTTTAAGAAACCATTTAGCTTATGGGGCAAATATGATTGCCCTTTGCTGTCTCTCTCTGTTATTCTGAGACCTTTTAGGAACTTCACCCTGCGTTTCATCTAAAGAGAAAATTAACTTTACTCAGCCCCCAAATGTAGACAGTGTGATTAGAGTGGACAGTCTTGCTTCACTGAACAATACATTACCCAGGATAACAACTTACTTTGACCTTATGGTGTGTTTTTTCTGCATGTGTGTCTGTGTTGAGCGAGGATTCAAACAAAAGCAGGGCTGACATTTTCAAGAGAAAAAAAAAATAAAACAAATTCATACAGGTTGCTCATTAGATTTTTGTGCACTTTCAGTAAACCCTTAACTAATACCAGGAATTGGCTATAATTCAGCAATTTTACAGTAATTAAATTAAAATGTTGTAAAGTAATAGCTAAGAGTAAATCAAAACAAATAGCCCATGTTTTACTCATTGCATGAAACATTTAAAATTAACAGGCCAGACAAGATCTCACTATAATGCTTAAATGTAGGCACTATGTTGATTTGGAGAAATTATCCTGCATCTGACTGATTGCAAATGTTACACAAAAATGTTTAAAAAATTGTTTTAATTTAGAATTTAAGACATGAACGTTTTTATGCTAAATGTATTTTTTTTTTTTAGCTTTATAGCATGTTAAAAAATCGTTCCCTCATGAAACACATACCCAGAGTGCTTTGACTCATTCATGCTTGTTTGAGAAATCCTTGAATCTCATGTGGTAGCCATGTGGAGCTGCCTAAAGGCTGGCTGGTACAAAACACCACCTATTTTACACAAAGCCCCTCCCTGGAGCTCAGTCTGCCATCAAGCTCCGCGCACACAGAGAACCCCTTGCCTGCACCATGACACAACATTTTAACATCTTTTCAATATTTGTTATTTGGCTAGAAATGTATGATTGTTTTTTCACTGTCAATCATCAACCTTAACCAAAAATCAACTGTTTTGACCATAAATCAACATCAAATTAACATATTTTGCTGTCTTGGTTTGGATGTAAAGTAGACTATATTTCTACAATTCCCGATGATACATTTCATCAAGAATGGTTGGACCCTTCTCCTATCGAAGGTTGTAAACGGCATAAATTGTTGTTGTGAAGACTTCCTGAAGTGGGAGTGTTGAAAATGGTAGGAGGATCTTGAAGAGACAGAGGCCAATTTCAAGGTGTTTAGGCAATTATTTTGTGTTTACAGTATTTTCTTAACAACTAAAGGTAACAGTTACTTGAATGTGATATAGAATTGAACTATGTACCTAAAAAGTACTTAATCCCCGCTTTAAAGTGATTTTCTCAGTGTACAGTTTGTTACTATGATTAAACATTGATTGGTGTTATTTATTTTTTATTTTTTTGCATTGGACTGGATTTTTCTATTTAAGACCTTAATTTCACTATCCATCTATCATCAGCCTTAGCTCCTTTGAAGGATTGTGTCTGCTTTACATTCACAGTTTCACACATCCTCACCTGGGAACTGCCCAACACAATCACAGAGTTTGACTCCTGGCTGCAGGGTAGCTCCACCACATACACTGGGAGTCATGAGCCTCTCAGTGGCAGCTGTTAGAGGGGTGGAGACTCATTCACTTTCAGATCCAGCTTTCACCTGCTCACTGTGGTTTTTCAAMATTTTTTTTTCCTCCAACCTCGGTCTTTAAACATCCTGAAGCGGTTTAGCCAAGATGCATGCTTATTTTAATGGAATCCTTGGCTGGATAAAATATGTAATGTGCTTTACCCACCAATATGTAATCTTAGTTTGCCTAAAAAACCAAAATAAAAAGGAACTTTCTGCACAGAAGTGCAAAGAGGTGAAATCTAGATGGACACAAACCTCTAAAAGTAATCAAAATGGTCAACAGCTATTTAGAAATGGTGTGAATTGAAAACAGATGTTGTTTAGTAAGACTTTTTAATACGGTACATTTTTAGCAAACAACTCTTTCGCAATTAAATTGAACCAAACCACATCAAACATCCTTTAAAAAATAAATTGTTAAAGCAACAAGGAGAAAGCCTCACTRGAGTTCGTATTAAAAATCATTTTTAGTATAGTCTTCTCATTTAATATGTTTGCTCAAACACAACACGTGTTTGTGTGTGTTGCAGGGGCATCTATGATTCTCCCATTCTGGGTAATAAAAGTTGTTTCAAACAATCCCACTTTTGTTTGAGGTTTTTGATGAACAGCAACTCTAACTGAAACAATTGGCATAAATATCTCTCTACCAGATTTTGTATCCCCTTCTACYCTTTTAACGAGACCTGCGCCCTTTGAAAAGCTTTGATTTCCATCTGGCCTTTAACTTTGTGGCGTGGCAATGCTATTAGATGTCCCTTTACCCTTTGCTGGCCTTGTATTAATAGTAAAACCAACACAGGTGAATATTTGTACTCTGTGAGACAGTCAGAGACCAAATGATTGTAAATTAGTCGGAAAGCATAACCAGGCTCCTTTGACATTTTTTACATTCACTGTAYTTATTTCAGACTGATTCAGTCAAATCACTTTGATTTAAAGTAGAGRCCAATTTTTCAAACTGTATAATTTAAAATGTCAAGACAATTATTTGACTGGAGGAGCTGTGATTTTTTTTCTTCCTTCCGTCCTGAATTGTTCCTCTAATTTGTTACCTAAAAAAAGAGAAAAAATATGTGATCACATAACATTATCATCCTTGTGTAATTTCCACTTTCTTTCTTCTCCTTTTTGGTGGAGTATTTTCCAGCTGCTTCACAATTTGAATTAATATTAAAAGATGGGCATTAAATATTTTGTTTCCCTGAGTAACTAAACAATAAAATGAAAAGGTCCCACCATCGTGGATCAGCATCAAAATCAAGTATATTATGCTTTACCTCACAGTTTTACTATTAATTATTGTGACATTGCCTTCAGTTTCCCACACAGATAAAAGAGAAATATGCTTAAGATATCTAATAACTTGTTTGCTATAACTGAAAGGTGGTTATGTCCTCTTTGTTAATATATATTCTTATGTCTGAGCTGTTTTCTTCACCTTAGAGTTTTTTTAATGCATGTGCCCTCTGCTTTGTTTGTTTTGTACAGAAAGGTGGTAAACAAGAGTTCTTAATTATATTAGTAACAAACGATGAACACAGTGGGAATACAATGTCTCTTTTAACTGTTTTAACAATGCAACTTTTTTCCCCATTATATATAAAAAAATGTTGAAACTAGTTTAAAAAAATCAACTGTTACAGACAGAGAGCGTAACCAGTGTGTGCTGATAGAAGACAACATGTGTGAGATAAGTGTTRGCCTGAGGGAAACCAAATAAATGTGCTTTGCTGCTGTGAAGTAGCAACGTCTACTGTGAAAAGTCTGACAAAACCAGAGAAGTGAAWACAAATAAAACAGGAGAATAACATTTGTGGGTTTAAAATGGGACAGAGAATAATTTGTCAATAGGACGTTTGTGTTTCTGAGTCACAGTCAGTGGTCTCAGCTTCTTTTTTAACTTTAATCTCATGTGCAAAGTGGCCACACCTGTAAAATATTACACAYCTAACAAGTGACTTGGCTTGTTAATACGGTGCATGTAGCTGTTGTTCAATGGGTTTCTCTGTTTGTTTGTTTGATGAAAGGATCTGCACTCAAGTGCAGTTTATGTYTGTTTGTGATCCATCACTGGAATTAAACCTAACTGAGCTTCAAAGACTGGAAAGTGAAAAGATAACAAGGGGTGGCCAGAAAAAGTGGTGGGTGTGGGTGAGATATAGTAGATGGGAGGCTTTTGATAATTACTTTTGAGAGGTCAGAGTGGGCTGTGTCCAATTATTTTTTTTTCTTCAGCTGATGGTGGGCGTTTTTGTTATAAAGTAAAGTAAAAACGTCAACGCTTTTGACTTTTGCCAWCAGAAAATGAATGAAGAAGCTTCCTTTAAAATCTAAGGGTTTGTGCTTCATTAAATTTAAGTACCGTACTTATTTTTGAATAATGCAATAGTTTAAACCCTGAACTCTCTTCTATGTTTGTCATTTCATTTCTGCCATAAAACAAAATTAAAGGGAGCTTTACAAATTGTGTACTTTTTACTCTTAAAAATACAACYTCCTTATGGCATTTATACATGTTTATTAGTCATTAATAAATAGTGTACTGTCTTACACTTTACAATAAGGCTCCCTTAGATAATTGTGAATTTGTATAATGCAGTAAAATATTATGTAAAATATGTTTTCAATAAATTATTGTGCCAACAAGGTAGAAACGTAGTATGAAATGTTTAATAAAGCACCTTTAGATGTATTGTGTTCATGAACAGGTTTGTCTCACTATTTGATGAGAAACCAGTTTAGTCTCTTTCTCGTCTTTATTTAATGCCTAATAAACACTTATTAATGATTTATGGTGTTTATGGATTAACTAATAACCTATCTATAAAGTATTTATAAAACATCAATTAAGGAGAGCCTTATTAAAAAGCGGTACCACTTTACTATATTTTTATTTATCTAGGACAATATGAGTTGTTGTAAATTCACTGACTTATCTGGCTGATCAATTTTACTTTAAGGTTTTCCGTTTGACTGTATCCTTTAATCCTGTATCCAAACATGTCCCTGTGTGTTTGTGTCTGCAGCTGTGTGTGTCCACCTGGTTTTGAAGGTCAACACTGTGAGATAAACCCAGACGACTGTGAAGACAACGATTGTGAGAACAACTCCACATGCGTCGATGGGGTCAACAACTACACCTGCCTCTGTCCACCCAACTATACAGGTTGGCACACACACACACACACACATACATTTTACATCTGTTATTAGACTTTACAATTTCTAAAATCACAAGTCCTTTGCAATAACAGATGAGCCTGTCTTCATGTGCACCTACACGGTCCACTTCAGTAGATAGTAAGTTAGCAACAGACATCCCCTCCACAGTGGCCTGTAACGGTTCCTAAAGGAGCTTTAAAGAGCAATCACACACTGGAGAGGAGGATATAGAGAAAAGGGGAATAGCTGTAAAATTGCARGGAGGAAGTGTGTGCTGGGAGGCAAAAGGAAACTAGAAAGAAAGGACTGTTAAAGGCCAGAAGCAGCAAGAGAGCGATATAGACCAAATCGGAAAAATCCAAAAAGCAGAACCTAAACTGCTGACTGCGAAATCAAGTTGTTTTTCCTTGTGCCAGTGTCCTCTGGTACACACAAATATGACCCAGATCCCCTCTGACACTGGATCTCAGTCAACATACACAAACATTCTCACCAACACACACCATGTCATTAACTCTGTTGGCATTGAGACTCATCGCACACTGCCAGCCACCTTCCCACATTTAGCTGTTACACACACGCACGCACACCACACACACACACTTTGAGTTCCTTTGGCTCCGAATCACCAGTGATCTCGGTGAACCATGGCGTAATCATCAAGTGTCATATTAGGAGGACAGTCCTTCTCTGTTTGCTCTGATTTATCCGAACTCTGCATCCAGGATTGTCRTGTCATATTTACACCACAGACATTTAATGACACAAGACTTTAAATTTAGATTAAATTACCTGACTCAAGTTTCTACGAGAACTAAAACTGTCATACTATCTTTTCAATCATGAAAAAGATATCCTGTGTGCCCCTTTGCTATTTTACTTGCAAAATAACCCATACGTTAAGAAGGATAACATCAATAAACGTTTCAAGCATAAGTTTGTGTTTTTCTACTGACATTTGACATTGAGTGCATTTAAAAGAGATTTTTTACTTTGTTTTTTGTTTTGTTTTTGTTATTCTTTTGTTTTGTGCTTTCCAATTTTCTGAAACCTCAATTTCCAACAATTTTGGACAAAAAACCCTTCAAGCCTTTGTGATGACAACCGTGTATGGCAGGAAATGTTTCCCTGCTGGATGTGCCTTGCATGCAAATGTTTTGATTTCCAAAAAGTGACATAAATGTTTTTTTTTTATTTTCTTTGTCTCCAGGTGATCTGTGTGATGAGGTTATTGACCCTTGTCTTGGTGCTTTCGACCCATGTCAGCACGACTCCAAGTGTGTCCATGTTGGCCGCAGTTACAGGTGAGGTCGGCTCCTGARAGGATTGGAGGTCACATCACAGTGGAAGTGATTAGAGCAGCAAGGCCATAAAGTTCAAACCTGATATTTTATAGCACAGTCATGGTTGTCATTACTAAACACTGCTTCCTACAGCCCAGTGCAGTGTTGTATAAAGTACCACAAAGTGATACTTGAGTAAAAGTACAAGTATCTTACCAAAAAACTACTTTAGTAAAAGTTAAAGTCTCCTTTAGGAATATTACTTGAGTAAAAGTCTTAAAGCATCTGATATTTTTGTACTTAAGTACTAAAAGTAAAAGTATTGATTTAAAATGAGCAGTTAGATTTCCTGTAATGGCATTTATTAGGAGTTGACCTCCCAATAAAACTGCAGAAATGACTATGTGGTATTAAAACAAGTAATTGTGTTAAATTTAGGATGCACTAGTCCAGCTGTTTCAGTTTATATACATATATCAAGGCTGCCCAAACCTTTTCCCCAAAATGAAAATCTATCTGAGGGCTGCGGCCAAATGCAATAATATAATTAATGAAATACAAATTCTTCTTAAGTACAGTCCTTTTATTTTAATGATTATGTCCTGCTGGAGTGTGACAGGATTCATTTGTGTATAAACTAATACGGTATTAAAATTGTATATATTTATACATCTCATTCAAACACAATTAAATTCACTCTATGTAGAAGGCACAATTTATATGGATAGTATTTATTTCTCATAATAACAAGCTGGGATGAAAACAAGCAAAAATGAAATAAAATTAACGACTTTTTACTTCTTGCCTTTTTTAAAAAAAACGTAAGGAGTAGAAAGTACAGATAATTGTGTGAAAATGCAAGAAGTAGAAGTAAAAAGTAGGCTGAAAAATAATTACTCAAGTAAAGTACAGATACCCAAAAATTCTACAGTAAAAAATGTATTTGTACTTAGTTACTTTACAACTCTGGCCCAGTGGTTCTCAATTTTGGTCCTCATGTCCTACCATCCTGCACGTTTTAGTTGTTTTCCTGCTCTTAAGCAGGTTTTTGAGTTCTGCAGAACCTTGTCAATCACTCATTCATTTAAAGATAGTGTGCCAAAGCAGGGAAACATCTAAAACATGCAGGATAGTGGGCCACGAGGGCCAGAATCGAGAACCACTGCTATACACAGTGCTGTCTAAAACTGATATGTGAACAGTGAGGAGTCGTATAATTTACAAAGCTTAGGTCACTGTAATAAAGTTCATTTTGTTTATTTTCTGTTGAAAATTATTGCCTTATGATGTAATATGTTAAATCTTAATGTAATAATATAGAGTTAGTTCAATTTTRTTTTCATTCTTACATACACTTTAGWAGAAAATGCATTTTCTCACTGCCCAAGTAGGACCAAACATGTCACCTCTTTGCAAAACATACAATAAAAAAGGCAGGAGTGTAATTTAGTCTGTATTTCCCTGTTTGTTTAGGTGTGAGTGTTTACCGGGATATGTGGGCCAACACTGTGAGCAGGACTATAATGACTGTTTAGAGAATAAATGTCAACACGGGGCAGAGTGTGTGGATGCTGTCAACGGCTATACTTGYGTCTGTAAAGAGGGTTTCAGGTGAGACGCATGCACACACAAACATGGTTAAGCTCTGCGAGGCCAGATTGGAGAAAAATGCAGATGGCACTTCATAATCAGACACTTGACTGTCTCGAYCTACTGAGTGCATGTGTGTGTGTTWGTGTGTGYGGGACAGATGCAGCACCATGTGGTTAATTATAGCAGAGACTGTTGGCGAGAGCGAAACAAATTCATCACAAGGGACAGAAATGGAAAAAGGGAGAGAGAATGTCTTATGAATGTTGGMAACAAATAAAGAGATGAGGAAACGGATTATGTGGATAAAACTTTGGGGAAATTTTCACTCTTCGTGATGCCAGATGTTTTTGTTTATTGTATTCATGTGCACTTTTTTGTGTTGACACTTTTTATGGCTTTCTTTTGCTGCAAAAAGACTAAATTCCACATTTTGTGTCTTAATACAAAATCATTTTATTCTTTCTCCATGGTCTAATAAAGATTGGCAGTTATACAGAATCTGTTCATAATTTAAAAAAAATGTGCCCATTTCCTTTGAAAATATCACTTCTCATTCGAATTTTATATGTATTGCAGTCAAAGTACTACACAAATTTTATTAGTAGATACTGGTACAACAAAACACCAAGTTCCAGCTGTATGAATAACCTTTCCTGTCTGTTCCACTCCTCRCTCAGTGGGCTGTTCTGTGAGAACCCTCCACCAATGATCTTGCTGCAGACCAGCCCTTGCGACCAATCAGATTGCCAGAAYGGCGCCCAATGCCTGGTGGTTGCTGGGGAGCCAACCTGTCGCTGCATACCTGGTTTTTATGGCAATAAATGTGACAAAGTCTCCACTGTTCACTTCCTGGGTCGCGATGGGTATGTGGCGCTACCAGGCACCAAACTCCGTCCAACGGCTCATATTTCATTGCAGGTAGGGTCAACATTTGACCTCTAGGGTGTCAAAGCGAATGTATTTATATTGTTTCTTAGCTAATYATTGGTGTTTTATGGCTTCCAATGGTACAATGACAATAAATGTCTTTCATAAATACATTTTTCAATAATATCTACAATTTYTCTAAATAAGTACAGACAAGAGCATAAATCTTTGTGATTTTCTGCATCAGTTATGAATAGAAAGTCACTGCATGTATCATGTGATATAACAAGTAAAAAAGCAGTGTCCTTGTTAAATATTTTCAACTGGTTGAAGAATTGCTGTGAGTCATTCAGATGAAAACTTTAGAGATATTATGTTACAATGTGAAGCAAATGTTGGTTATGGCTGCTGTTTCTGCCGAGTACTTGGACTTTTTCACACACGCATGCACGCTCGTTTGTACAGTCTACAAGAGAGTCACGTCTTAATAGAGACATATGTCCTCCTTTTGAAAATGAGACTGTAACTAGAGAAACAAGAAAAGGAGAGCAATCTAATTGAAATTTACCACCTGTTTGGATCCTTGTGTTTGTGCAAGTGTGTGCTTTCGTGTATGTGCTCTTGCCAGGAGCTTTCAATGTCAGTGCCAAGGCTGTTAAACTCCACCAAGAGGCTCTGACTCAGAGGCAAGAGAGACAAAATGAAAAAGCACAGGGAAAAAAGGGCCCCAGCACTTAATAAATCACTGCATTTTTTTCTTCTCTTTCACTTAAACACCTCTTCTCTCCTTTCTTTCAACTTGCATCCCAGTTTTCCTTTTACCTACTTCTCTGTTTAATTTTTCACACTCTCCTTCCACCTCCCTTTTCGTCTCTGTCCTTGTTTCCTACATCTCTCCCTCCGTTTCTCCTCCTGGCCTGTTGTGCTCTTTCTTCCAGCAGCTTGTTAGCAGGTGTTGACTTGGCTATGCTCCATTGATGCCAGAGTGTTAAGTGCTTGGCCCCATGGCCCCATTTCCACTTGCTAGTTAGTTAGTGCTTTACAGAGCACCCGAACAAGTGGAACATGTCAAGTGTGCATCTAAGAAAATAAGTACGTTTTCCTGGTTTTAGACCTGTGTGTTTTGGAATTTAAATAAATGCTTGATTTTCCTATGGCTCTTCAGTGTCATATTGAATAAAATTAATTTTATTGACATATAATTGTTTATTCAGAGATAAAACCCCTAGCACGTAAACTGGCTATTGTGCAATGATCTGCTCAAAATCTTTGGCTCCTGAAAATTTAAGTGGATGTTTCAACAAGTAGCACTCACCTAAACTCTTGTCCTTTTCACACAGCGGTCATGCTAAATAGACACAGACACGCTTCCGCTGCAAAAGCCCATTAACTTTGCCCTCCGCATTCCTTGGACAGGCATACCTTGTACAGGCAAAGTAAAGTGGTGGTTGCACTGCGGCAATGCATTCAGATGACAAAAGACTCCCTCAGCAGGACAAGATTCCTTCCCAGACTCCAAAACTTGGTTAGGATCAGCAAAAGAATAGAAGGTGTAGTCTGGGCTTCCAGATGCCCACATTCCAATCTAACTGAGTATCCAAGGAATGTGAAGGAAAATTCTGATCCATGTGGCCACATGCATTCAAAAGTTACGGAGCCCGCGAGGAGACGTGGGGAGATTTTTTTTCTTTTGTGTTTCCACGCAACAGTATTGCGTTGCTTCGCAATACTTTTGCGTTACTTCGCAATACCTTTTGCGTTCCCTCGCAAGAGCAGTTTATCACTGTTGTGCCTGCCATTTTATTAATGAACTCACATGTTCACGATTAGCGAGTTAGCCTACTGCTTTAATTCAGCTTCAGAAGGAATATATCACACAGCCACACATGGAAGTATGTCGTATGCTGATATTTTAGCACAGTGCAGCCACGCAACATCAATGTCAATTTCATGAACTTGTGGCGACACATCCTGTTTTGGTAACCGGATATTTCAAAATAAAAGTCTGATTTAATTCAGTTCATATACAAAACAATTGTTTGYGTAGGAACGCAAAACAATTTTACGAGGTAACACAAAAGTATTGCGAGGGAACACCAATATATTGCGAGGTAACGCAATACTATTGCGTGGGAGCGCAAAAGAAAAAAATCTCCCCATGTCCCCTCCCGGGCGCGGTAAAAATTAGTCAACTTGCTGAACTAAGGAAAATCTCTTTCTATACTCTATAGCAGTGGTTCCCAAAGTTGGGGTCGGGACCCACAGTGGGGTCCCAAAACATCAAGGTGGGGCCCTGAAAATGTTTTCTGAATTAAATACACAAAAAATTACATCTAACAATATTTTTTTATCTTTGTTGTTGCAAAAGAGTAGAGTTAGTTTACTTAAAATTGACAAAAATAATGTAATAAATACTGTTACTATGCTCTTGACGTGAAAACAATGTGCATCAACCAACAACAACTGGGGTCACAGGTTTCTGCTGCTGGTATTTTGTGGGTCAAAAGCTGAAAAGTTTGGGAACCAATGCTCAATAGAGACCTGCACACAATGAAACAGGTGTTTTTGATGCATATGATGCATATTTTTGACAACCAAACTGGTGTACCAACCAATAAAATAACCACCTGATTTGGAATAATTAACAATATTGATACAATAAAAATATTAAACCACTTCACTTATTGTCCTAAATCAGTTTTGTTTGTTTTTTTTTAAATAATTTTCTTCTTCCAGGTGGCTACAGATAAAGACAATGGCATTTTATTGTACAAAGATGACCATGATCCCCTTGCCCTGGAGCTTTACCAAGGACACATACGGCTCATTTATGACATCACCAACTACCCACCAACCACAGTGTACAGGTAAGGCACACGAGTGATTTCACATGAATTTCACTCTGTGTACTCTGTAGTTATCTTGATCTTGTTTAAACAAACAAAAGGCCTCATTGTAAGAAAAAAAAGAACCGTTTCTGAAAAGTTTTTGACTCTGTTATGTGCCAGTTCACAAAACATTCATCGACTAGTGATTGTGTTAGTTACCCTAATTTTTAGGCAAGTCGATTTTTAATCAGCTAATTATGGATTACAAGGGATTTTATCTCTATGTAGAGAATTAAAATGGTTCTGTGCAATTTCACTTGTACTTGAATATGTGTGCAAAAACATGCAGGTATGTGTGAAAACATGATTTGATTATAAACTTTGGTATGTGTTAACAATCTCTTGAAGTTTATTAATATAATAAATCAATGCATCTTGAAGAACATATTTATATTCACTGAGTTAAGCAACTTTGCTTTGGAAGACTTAAAATGTTAGCGGTTCAAAGAMGTGCGAGGTATGTATGAAAAGAAAAGATCATACATAAAACACACAAATCCCGACAACTGATGGTTCCATGCAGCCAAGGACTTCTCAGAAAAAGCAGATTTGGCTGCACAAATCCATTGCTTATGCTGTCTTTATCTTTCTTTCTCAAACATATACACACACATCAACAGATCCCTATCAGAGCCTTTTTCTCTATAAACAAACATAAACTAAAAAAAAAGAAAATCTTCCAGAATCTTGGCAAGACACATTCCTGAGTGAAAACAACAAAGTCACTTTAGATAAAACGTCACACATTGGATACAAAAGCCTTTTTTTCAGCAATTTAGTCAGTGGAAGCCTTCAGAATAAACATAATAAACTACATCCATAATTTCATGGAACTGCATTTTTCTTTGTCAGAAAATCAGCAAAGAATTCCAGGAAAAGAATATGCCAATGTTTTTAAAAGTYAAATCATTAAAGATTTCATGCAGCATATAAACAGATGTTGCAGTTTATGGTGTAACAAATATACAAGAATCACAAACAATACTTATTAACAAGGACTTGTATGTGTGTAAAATTTAAAAATTGATAAAGTGTATGATGTTTGTCTACATTCACTCATTCAGTAAAATGTCAAACATAAAACAGTCATTATTAATAACACATCCTAAATGCATTTTTGTGCTTTAATGTAGCTCTTACACCGAGCTCTTCACATTTAAATAAAAGAAAAAAAGTTTCAGTGATTTTGTTTTCAATACTATGCTTGTGCGCAGTTAGAGAAAAAAACAAGAGGAAACTSAATGTTTAAAGAATTAAAAAAAGAGATAAAAAATATTAAAAATGTCTCATATCCACAATTTGTTGTTGTGCACTGACTACTCTTAATTCAGTCTGTGTCTCAGTYGTGTTTGCAGCATGAAAAGAGAAAAATGGATGTGAGAGGGATACATAATGAAAGCCCAAACATTTTAATAAGTTGATGTTATCCCATAAGGTGTTTTAATTTGTAACACAAGGTCAGGCAAGAAGTGCATCCTGTGCAACACTGTATTAATGCATCAATTAAAATGAAACATACAGTATCTAAATTGTAACACAAACAAACAAAACAATTGTTTAGCGTGTTCCTTAAAATATGTTTCAACCACCTTAAATAACCCATTTTTTTGTGAAAACTAARAGGATAGAGGAGAGCTGGGGATAAAATATAAAATGAAATGAAGAAAGAGAGATCTTTATCGTCTGCAACTTTTGATTTGCACTTACCATCTGTGAATTTTTTAGAATCTTGCTTTGTGATCTTTTGTTCCTTCTGCCCAACTATAGAATGATTATCTGGTGGTCGTGCAATTTCCAAAGATGATAGGCAGCAGACATGTTGTAGTTATTTTGAGTTTAGGATTAGGGCACGTACGCTTTTTAATAGATTCCTACTATTAAATATATATATA